GTGATTTTCAGTTTTGAGGAGGAACAACCTTCATGAACACCACAGTTTTACTTGTAAACAGTTTAAATTAAAGTTTAAAAAGTTTTCGCAATTTAGAGCCTCATTTACGTAATATACAGACTTTTACTAAAAGTTGGCACGTGCAATTGGCACTGAATTTCTTCCTCATACTCGTATGAAAATACCCTTCCATTTTAAATACTTCACTTTATATTCAGTGGGAAACCTTCACAGCTTAGGTTTATTTGTTACTCAGCCACCTAATGACTAATTTCCTATAAACCCACCCATCTATAGCCATAACTCAAAGAGCAGAAATTATAGAAAAAGGACTTCTCTTTATAAACTGAGTACCACATTTGAACCTACATATCATCTGAGTCAAATTTTCTTTTACCATAAGATGAGTTTTCTCACAAAAGAAGACAAAAAAAAACCCTGAATTATGATGAATATAGATGCCAGCAGTCCTAAGGATACCAATAAGAAGGGATTAGGCCTGCTAGTAATACAGTGGGAGAGAAATACTAGAGTAACTAGTGCTGTAAAGCGCTTCTCCAACCCGTAAGTAGCCCAGACAGGGTCAGAGGGATAGCATTACATGCTGTATCAACTGTGGCAGGGGCAGTGGCAAAGGGCATCTGAACCGCACATAAGATATTGGTACATTTTCTTCACTACCTAATACAGTCAGAAAGATTGGAAGTAGGTTTCTTTGTAATATAATAAAGCCCCTCGACTATATGAAAAAATATGTCCCTTTGGTTTATGAATTAGTGATCTTTCACTGAAATCTTTTTCCGTAAAAAGTTACCTAGAATTATTGTACAGCAGTGGATTGAGAAGAAAAGAAAACCTCTTTAAAAGGAGCTGTACATGAATAGATTGCCTGCATTAGCACAAAACCTATTAGCTTAATTGGGAAACTGCATAGGTTCACATCGACATGATGCTCCTTGCAGGAGTGGAACGTAGATACTTTCCTTGGAATACATTTTATCAGGCTATACAGATTTAAAACTGTAATTTATTTTTTTCCTAAAATGATAGAGGACTTTGTAGTCCATACAAACATAACTACACAGAAAAATTCTTAAACCGTGTTAGGCCATAACTGTGCTTCTAAAAACAATTAAATGAAGCTGCAGCTTGTCTTATTCAGCCACTAATGTACGCTAAACAGGCACAGAGTGGTTACCAGAACTTAGGTGATCAAAACATTTTCACAGCGTCTCACAGAAATCATTTCCTCAGAACTGTGTACTATGCCACAATTAAAAAGGGTCAAATGAATACAGGATAAAATAATACTTCTGTGTCAACTGAATAAAAATAATTTATTTACAGATCATGAGGAAAAACATGAAATGCCTTTCCTTTTCAAATAAATACATGTATTAAGGGAACACATCCATTAACTAAAAAAATAACTTTGTGAGATTAAATGATAGTTCTTACACACTAAAGAAAACCATAAAAACATTCAAAGTACAATAGTGCAGCCATGTCAGAGCAAAAAACTGATGTTTGCCATTTTACATTTTAGATAGAAGACAAGGTAATCTTTTAAAGCAAAACAACAGAAAACTTTATATATTCATTATTACCATGTATAAACACATGCTTTAACTTCTAAATGTAAATATTTTTTCCAAGTTATTTTGCTTTAACATGAATTCTACATGGTATATGTGAATATTCAGTCTTGCTGGAGCTGATCATTGTAGTTCTAAAACCAGTTCCAACTGAGCTATAGCTATATCCCCATTTGGTAGTGTTTTTTTAGAATTTAGACGTTGACCATAAAACTACTCCAAGGTAAAACCTTGTTAACAGTTTCCAAACCTGAACCTTACTTAAAAAAACAACACTGTTTCAAATTAAAATTGCTTTACACCAGACATAAAAATTACAGAGCTTAAAAAAAAAGGAATTCTGTTTATATAATTTGGTCAAACAAAGAGAGATTTTGGTCATTACAGTAAATTAAAGTCATTAAACAAAAAAATCATTCATTGAAAATAGTCACTAAACGAAAAAAAGTACCCAAAATATCAATGGCCCAATACTGCAGAGAGAGAAAAATAGGTGTGAAGGCACGTCCCTGAACTCATATCCTTCAACCAGGCTCTCTACAGGCATGATCATGCACATGGTACTCTCCGTATGATAAGAATCTTAGACATGAAAGCAATTACTGCACATGCATGCAAGCTGCTAACTGTGCAATGTGGAACCCGCATTTGCAAGAGGTACCTCACAACGTTACTATACTGGTGAAGAGAAGGACAAGCAGCATCTAATAGCATACAGATAATGAAAGGGAAGCTACTGAGATCACAGCCAAACCCTTCTTGGTAGCAGGAGATGATACAATGAAGGGAAACAGCTATAAACTTGTAACCACTTGGGAAACTGAGGTTGGACATAGACAGAAATTTTTATCCAGAAGCGGAGTGCAAGCACAGGAACAGGCTGACCAGAATGGTGGTGGTATCTCTGTCTTCAGGGATTTTCACAAGCTGGTTAGCCAAAGCCACAGCTAACCTGATCTCGGGCCAGCAACTGTCCCTCTCTGCTTAGGAGACTGGGCAACCACTTCCAGAAATCCTTCTTGCCAACAACTTTAAGTGATTCTCTGCATCCAACTAAAACGTTTTTCTCATGCAGGTGTGTCAACAAGGTTTAGGCAAACATATTTAACCTCATTAACTGCAGGCCAAGACCACAGAGATGATCAAACACTGTGGTTCAGGAGACATGCATAGAACACTGAGCCTAAATCTAAGCCCTACAAATTAACAGAAGTTAGCAACGCTGAAGGAGCAATATTTTGAAATGTAAGTATCTGCTTATAATCACGACCTTCTCATCCTCCAAAAATGCAAATGTTGTAAGCTTATACTACAGAAACCACGAGCTGGATCATCTCCTTCTCTACTCCCTACTGCTGCAGAAAGAACTATCTGTAAGTACAACCCACATTAATTCTACTTCCATTTCACTCCCTTGGAGAGAGAGAAGCTTTTGCATACAAAGAACACAGAAGACACCCTCATCAATGCGCTCAGGTAAACATGGTTTTCTCCTCAGCGAAGCTAATTACAGCTATAATCTTATAGTTTAAATAACACAGGGTTAATAGTAAATAACACATATGTGACCATGCATATTCCTGGTACACCTGCATCTCCTTCAATCTCTGCCACACGCTCCAGACAAGTCTCAGGACTACAGTGAGGCCTCTTGTACTGCCGGGTGAGAAAACGCTACAACCCTAAAGTCTCCTGTATGGAATAACGTAGTTTGTGAAGATTCCCTTAGTACTTCAACAAGGACACCAAACATGTTTTCCTTTTCTACAGCTGAAGTACAATATAGTGAAATAAAATATATTCTTCCTTCTACCATTCGATTTCTCTGTCTTGGTAAGAACTATCCTTCAGATAGTTACCTGAGGATTAGCTGCTCTGATCTAGAGGTTTGAACAGATGCCTAAAAACACTGCTTTTCCTACTTCAAAACTCATTTTTTTTTAAATGCTGAATTCCTGTTTCCAAGAACTCCACATTTTGTGAAACTGATAACAGAGCACAGACTACACAGTGTCCAAACACAGTGCTGCTAGTCACGCAGGTTTCCAATCAGACCATAAAACTTTATCCAAGGTTGATTTACTGAGCTAGGTTTCAGCCTGCAGATGATTTATTAATGTACACAGAAAAGACTGAAACAGTTTGCTGGCTCTGAAGAGGCTTTACCCCATTCCCATCAAAAATAGCGGAAGCTGAGAAGAATTGGATCATAATTATTAACTGCAGAAATACATACATTTTTTACTACACTACAGGACAATTGGGAACTATTAGAAGCAGTAACAACTCAGTTTTTAGAGGTGTTGATACCTGAAGCACCACCCACTGATGAGTTTCTCAACATTTTCCTAAAAATAGGTAAAGGAATTCTCATTAAGGTAAGTGGTTGCTGTTCATTTCAGGGACTTCTTTTAATGAACAGTTTATACAGATGCTTGTGCATGTGCAGCAATTCTTACACCTGCAGGTTTAAAACTGCAAAAATACATAAAGAATATCCATTAAAACAGACTCCTCTGCACTATTACAATTCCTCAATTAATGTCTGAATGGATGGCATTTGAAAAACAAGGAAAAAACTACATCCCATAACTCTCTGTAATACTAATAATGATCTAGTCTAAACAAACAGGCAGGTACTGGATCACAAATTCACCTCAGTAATCCTACCTATCACAGGTACTACAGTCTCTCTGGAATTCTGAACAGTAACGATCCATGCAAATGTTCCTTTCACTTCTGAGCTGTGTAAGATCAGATGAAAAGTCTACTTCTCAGTTCTGAATCAAATCCCAACTCCCAAAATTAAACAAATTCCAACTCATCAACTTCTGCGAAATTACACCAGAACCCCAAGCACCTGCCACTGTCTTCTCCCAACAGAGACCATTCTGCTTCATGCCCTGAACTCTGGGTTTACCTGGATCTAGGCAACCTTTCAATAGTGTGGAGTTTTCTTGGGAAATGTTTCATCAACACATAACTTAAGGCCTTCAAAAAACTAGATAAGCAGACATGATCAAAATGAGATTACATTAACTGAAGCTGTAACTTTTCCTATAAGTGATACATGATATTATCATGTTCTGTATACAAGAAATATTGAGCCCATAAAGAAACAAGCAAGTAAAGAAGATAAAACATATTACAATATTGTACGCAGTGACTACTGTAGCATTGATTCTGAGGTCACTTCATTGACTTACATTACTTAAGAAATAAACCTATGGGGCAAAGTGCACAAATATGAATGAGTAGAAAGTAGAGTCTGGATTTTCAACATGATGTGCAATTTCTAAATAGATAAATGTATAAATCCACAATAAACTGAATACATTATTGAAATCCTTCATTATTATTTTATTAAATATACAAGTTATTCAGGTTAGGAGAAGTATCTGTCACTCAAACTTTGCAACAGTTTTTCGTGAGTGCCGATTTTTTGACAGATGTCCCAGCCAGGCTGGTCACTGAACTCGTATCATCTTGATTATCACTTCGCTTTCGCACTTCACTGTAAAAAAACCCAAACAAACAAAAAAATGCACTCAAATTCACACATTTCTGTTCATGTTCACTGTTCCATTTCTCCCAGTACATCTTGCAGAGCTCATCATCATCTATTATGTGGTTAAAGCTATGGTTTTTAGTGCACAGAATCAACATGTCTCCTAACTTTCCCATTTGGGAATCATATCAATATTTCTACACAAATCATAGTTACTGATAGAAACACAATAATTTATGATATGTTGTAACTCCACAATGCTCTGTTTTTCTTTTCCTTTCGATAATTTTTCTTTAATTTGTTTGCTTCAGTGTATTACCATAGAAACAGAATATGTTCACAGCTGAAAGCATAAAACTAAATAACTGCAATTTCAAGTATAAATTTCAAGTATAAATTGCGAGGAAAAATGCACATTGTTGGATGTTTTATTACAAATGCGGACTTAAAAGTCATGTATGTATGATTACTGACCTGTATTCTTACTGTGGGCCTCCTAGAATGTCAACAGCCAGCTCTGAAATTTCTTGCTTCCTTATATCTACATTTATCTATACAACCAGTCCCCCTTGTATTAGTAGCATAAATTCATGAAGTTCACTCAGAACACCGTATTATTCAACATAATGGTAATGAAATGTTCCTTTAGTAATTTTTATTTCAAAATGAAACAATTCATTCAAAGAACACAAATTACTAAGACTTGAGTAAACAAACTGCAGTCAACCATTCCAGACCAAGGTTCTGGGTAATTGCTAGACCATTTGAGGAACAGAAAAAATGGTGAAGAAAAATACTGACTTTTTTTTCTCCTAGGTTTTGAAAAGAGAGGGTCCAATTGCCAAAATGGTTTTTTATCCTTTAAACAGTTGAACAAAGTTATCTTGTTTAAAATTTAAAGATAATTTTCCATCTGTGATTCATGTTACATAACTGTGCTATGTATGTTCTCTAACTTCATAATCCATTGCTGTATTCATGGCCAGATTTTTGGAAATGAGTCATTCAACAAATCAGCAATTAACTTCACATTGACACCAACAGACAAATAAACACCTGTGTTCTTGCTGCATATCTGACGGATGTATTTTCCTAGAAATATGGGTGCTCTTGAAAGTTCCATGTGAAGAAGCAATGATCCTCTCTAGAAAGCCAGCATTCTGTATTCAAGCTGTGTTAATCAGTAGTATTTTAACAATGAATAATCAAATACTGACCAAATGTGAAAAAGTTTTGTTACTGCATTAGGCTGCTGCAAAAATCACTTCAATACGGTTTGTAATTCTGGCCTTGAGCTCCATGCATCAAACCGAAAAATCAGAGGCTGCGGATTCATTACATACTGTCAGCCCTTCAAAACTATATTGTAACCAAGAATGGTTTGGAAAGGTAGTAGAAGTGTAATGTCTGGCTCACACATTATCACAGAAATACCAGGCTGCTAAATGGATATAATCAGAATGTCTATCTTTTAAACAATTTGGAGAATGCAACATCAAAGAAAATATGTGGGATTAAAACAGTCAGTAATAAAACTGAACATATATTAATATATTTGAAAGAATAAGAATTATATGTAGAATTATATGCATTTGAATTAAAGAAAGAATTAGTAAAGTAAATCCATGTACCATTAAAAAATGTAATTAATTCACCAAACAGGTTTTAAAATTATGAGCTCCATAACTGAGCTCTAATTTAAATATCAATTATTGAGACAGCTTTGTAACATTTGCAAGCAAAAACGTCACTCCATTAAATTGAGAATAAATCTTGTCTTGCATTTATCTACAAAGATTTAACATGGTATTCTTTCATAAATTTTGTTTGTTGAATTTGATGTTGGTATACTTTTAAATGAACATGTGTGTCTTTGTATATATACTCACATGTAATACCCTTTTCATAAAATATACCCAGATGTGTTTATTTGAAAATAGAAACACGGCTACTTACCGAGCAAGGTGAAGAACTGCTTCTACAATATTAGATCCATCTTTAGCACTTGTTTCACAGAATAGCGCATTATAAGTCTGTGAATAAAAATAAAATGTTAAGCCAACTAATCCAAAATGTTTCCCACGTGAATATGTATATTCATTTACAAATGGTTTCCTCAATAACACAAAGAAAGAAGACACATATTTAAATGAAAAGGATTTCCTCTGGTACTCTTCATTCTCCCAACACATTCACTTCAGTACTGTGAAAAAAAATAGTAATTGCTTTTTATCTTTTTATATTTATCTTTTATATCCAGTATATTCTGAATTAACAAACTGAATACAAAACACATCGTAGGCTTAACACCCAAACCCTATCTTCTTGTCCACAAAACCGCAAAATAGGAAGAGAGTTGCTAGGACAGGTTACTGAATCCAGCTTCTTAGCTACTTGTAAGCTACAGCATCCAGTATTCCAGGTTAACCAGAAATATCATTCCATAAGTAACAGACATGATATCTACGCTGGTGTAATCAATTGCACGAGCACTCAGCAACTCAGGAGTCTTACAGATTCTACATTTTTCTCCTGCAAAATATGGGATATGTGCATCCCTTATCCCCCATATAAATACATGCAAAAAACTTGTCCATGCTTCTATTGATAGCAGAGTTCCATTTTCTTTCTGCAGATGTAGCAGGAATACAAGCTAGTCTCTTGAAGATAAAAATATTACACTCCAAAGCTGGACAGACACAAGCCAGGTGAAAAGCCTCATACACTCACTAGTGTGCTTCATATTTGTACCAGCAATTTCTCTTTGGCAGCAGAAAAACTCAGTCTCCTAGTTCATCCACTTTTTCACTGCTAAGACTTCTTCTCACAGTCTTCTGAACTACCCCAGCCAACAATGAAGTTCAGCTCATTGAATACTGAGACATGATTTAGCCCAGCAAACACCATGAAAATAGGACAGTTTTCACTACAAGTATCCATTCATAAATCTTAATTAGTAGATTTGAACTAATGGCCAGAAAATAACTTTTGTTTAGTAGTTTCTCACATGGCTTTCAGACTAAAGTTCTTAAGACCATTTTATACTAAAGAGGTAACATTTGGACCTTACCATAGCCAGCTTTTCTCCATAGTTTATAGGCACACATTTTTCCCCTTGTTCTGTAACAGCTTGACGGAGATCTGCTTTGTTTCCCACCATCATAATTGGAATATTCTCATAAGTTGCATCCTGTAAAGAGGATTTTATTTCCTTATTGCCAGAACACTCAGAATACAAAAAAGTAACTAGAATCATCACGTCATACTGATTTCCTTCCCACAAAAACGTCTTGCGCCCTATCACAAAAAATGACAAATTAAAAAAGTCACACTGAGAACTTTTCATGAACTAGTTGATATTTAAGCAGCCAGCTTAAACATCAGCCCACAAACCTGTGCTTCCATTCCCACAAGCTCCGTTTCCCAACATGGAATTTCATGTGTTAAGTTAATTTAATGGAAATAGTCACTGTATCAAAATGCTGTATGACTAAATTAATGTGGGAAAACTGACCAAGTCCTATACCATGACCAAAAGAGATGGCTTTCGGAAGATGAATTAAAGATTTTGCTTATCAATTCCGCTCCTATTAAACACCTCCGGTATGAGAGAAAAATCCTTTTCATTAAATGCAAATTTCTATTCGAATAAACAAACAATAAGTAATAGTACAAAGAAATACTGAAGTTTTCACTTGAACTATAGCTAATTTACAGAATCTAACACATTGGTTTAAAATGCACAGACTCCAAGGAATACCTGGAATACAAGGAATAGAAAGCCATCCATAAGACGGTATCTGAAACGGGCTCACACGTTCATTTCAAAAGGAAGCAAATGAGAAGAGTGTGATTACATGATACCCTTTTACTCAAAAATATGTACTGGTTTTAACACTAACTGAATATATCAGGATACATTTAGGACTTCCCTGTAGCTTTTACTTCTATGCAAGACTGCAGTCTGTCTAATTTGAATATACAGATATTCAAATTTTATAAATAATAAGGTTAACAATGCAGTGAAACATATTTCATAAATTGTATATACTTAAGGGTCTTACCTCGATCATATCCACCCATTCTCGCACATTAAGAAAGCTTTTTTCACACGTTACATCATATAGCAACAAGACACCATCTGCTCTTCTAAAGTATGATTTAGCAATACTTCGGAATCTTTCAGAAAAAAAAGATTTTCATAAGGCTGCATTATCAAAAAAAAATTCCATTTACAATCATTAAGAACACAGCATTACTTTATTGCACTACTGAGTAAGATTATCTCCACATTACAAGAGTTTTCTCATAGCTTCTTTTGTAAGTAGCTCTTGAAAACTGCTGATGCAAGTCTACAAATGCTCCGTAAGGATTCACAGGATTCTCTTCCAAACAGCATTCAACAGTTTTTGTATCAGAACAATCTACAGTGTATCTATTACAAATAATCTGTTTTGCACTGGACTTTTGATCAGTTGGAAAGGCTCTTCCACTTACATGTAACTTTATAAATTGAGTGGGTTACTCTACTACATTTGAAAAAATACAAAACCAATAAACTTCTTCTAGGATTAAATTCATCAGCTACAGTCATCTTTGCTCTTAACATAACACAATCTACTTAATAACCGAGTACAGCAACCAGGTCTTTCAATTCTATATTAAAATATTATCCAAAAATTTATTATGTGGGAATAGAATGATTGGGCCTCTACTTTACATAATCACTCATTCAGGCAAAAGTAAACACATACAGCTCAATACAAATCTTCGTCAATGAACAGATTAAACTGACTTCCAAGGTGGTGGACTGACCTCTTAATAACGCCCAACAGCTGTCAGTAAAGAAGTAATTGCTCTCAAGTAAGAATGTCACAGGATTTCAAGGAAACGCTACACAATAACATGAAGAACCTTGGATATATACATTCAGTAATCTGTACAGTTTTGCCATAAATCTTTTTAGAGTCTTTGTGAGGAAGTTTTCATACACTATACACAATGCAAAATCAGGATCAGGACTTGCAAGTGAAGAAGAGGAGAGGATGGTGAAGGGAAGGGAATCTCTAAGGTAAAGCCTGCTCAGAAATACAGGTCTGTAAGCACAAATAAAGACTAAAAATGGAAGAACCAATGTACATCTATTGCACTTCTTTGTATTGCAAGAGAGGGACATACAGATTTAACTAATTAATGCTGTGGTGAATCTCAACTATTTGTCTCTGCAGAGAGAACAGATTACCTCAGGCATCACCAAAGCTAACAAATAAACATTCCACCTGTCTTCGGGTCTCAGGACAGCAAAATCACACCTGTTTATAGACATTCACATATAGTCATACTGACTTCGTACAGGGCCATATAATATTTAGTGGAATTTTTTTCACCTAGATGAAAAAAGGCAAACATCTTAGAAACAAAACAATTGAAATTACATAAATGTAGAGAATCACTAACCTCTCCTGCCCAGCTGTGTCCCATAGTTGTAGCACTGTAGGTTCCCCATCAACAATTAGTCTTTTCATTTGAAAATCCACACCTGAAAAAAGTGTATAGTCTAACAAAAAATATCAATAACCTTCACAAACCCACAGAAGATGAAGTTATGTGACAAATACAACAGTTCTTTCAAAATTCACCTAATAGATTATGAGATTTCAGTCATTCACACAGCCTTGAACTGCAACAATTACCTTAATGTATTTACCTAGTCTTTAAAAAAACATTTAAAGAAATATTTTACCCACACAAATTTGGTATTATGACCAGCAAACAAGAAGATCTCTCTCTGCCTTATTTTGCTAAACAGTTTTATGGAAGAAAAGAAAACTTTTTATAAAACAGACTTTATTTCCCTTGTCACGGAGGAAGAAGATAAATTAGAACAAAAATCCTGACTCAGAGGCAATAAAACAAATATATAACACAAAAATTCAGTCTCTGGAATCAGTAAGGTAGTTTGTTAGCTGACAGCTATAATAATATACACAAGTTGGTCAGAAATCCCTCCAGCTGCATTTAAACCAAAGCTTCAATAACACTTTGAAGAAACAGAGACAAAAAATAGTATGAAAGACATCAAAGGACAGTACGAAATACTAAAGCAAGAGGAAAGAGCTAAGATGACAACAAAGCAATGAAAATGTGAAATGGATTGTACACACATTTAAGTTCATTACACTGAAACTCCCTTTTTTGTTACTTTGTGTTGCTCAGGAATAGGCTTTGTGCTTTGCAAAGAGAATCTAAATTAGAGCAGTACCCTATTATCCACTCCAAACAGCAGTTAGGCACTTCTAATCTTTAGTATTCAATTAGATCTCACAGTCTAAGAGACTGCATGTGTATATTACAGAAACCATGGCAAGCAATCACAGAGGGTAATCTTAACACCCACTTCTGCAGAACAGCTATGAAATTCATTTTTGTATTTTAAGAAGAATAACTATACCCAGGGTTGCACTGGTATTGCCCCGAAATTCATTCTTGCAAAGTCTTGTAAGGAAACTGGATTTTCCCACTGCTGCGTCTCCAGCAAGAACAATCTTGTAAGCCTTCTCTGAACTGAGGTATTTCGGAGTACATTCGGTTGCATCTGACTGAAAATGAAAAGAACCCTTCTATTTCAACTCACATAAAAAATATTCTCTATATCAAAGAAATTTCTTTTTTCCTAAAGAATTGGTTACCTGAGGCGTGAGAGCAGATATGCATTTCCTTGTTGAGGCAACAGAGCTGCTTCGACTTACTGGTCGTGAGGATTTCCAGTCTAATACTGTACTGCTGTTATCAGGATTGTATGCTTCTTCGTCCCTAATCTCTGGAACCTGAAAGTACAAGCTACTGAGTTAGCTCCGGTGAGAAAAGTACACTTTTTTGGAAAGGGACAGCTAAGACTGATTAAAGCATTTGTTTTAACATCTTGGATTAAACAGAGATAAATGACCAAATAGAGCTCTGCAATTCTAGTCGAAATACTGTGATTATTCTGTTCTTAATCCACACTTGCTGTTTACTACAGCCTACATTTGGTCCTTAAATGTGTTTGCTGTTTGGCATACATGCTTTCAGCATTGTTTCCAGACAGAGCAAACTAATTTCCATATGGTCAATTTCAGCTTAAATAAATACAATAAACAAATACTTTATTTCAAAGCTTATTTTACAAAAATTAAGCATTACCCTACAAAACATTACTCTCTGTGCTATTACTACTCAAGCTAAATTAAATACAGCACAGCTGTAATCAGCACTATTCATAGCATTTTCAGCTGCAGACTTCATGTCTTTACTAAATGCATAGTAAAGGATCTGCTCAGAAAAAAAATATATGTTCTGCTGTGTTTGATACTAGTCTTGCTATGTAGTCATCAGTAAAGCGCTCTTTAACTAACAACAAAATGGACACAATAACATCTTCCTACATTTCTAAATTCTTTGAGACTTACTGTGTAAGTCAATGTATGCACTAACAGTATTTTTTCTCATAGGTGTGATTTTTCATTCACTGTCTCACAGTAGGAGAGAGCGAACAGAAACATGTTTTACTTCTATAGCATCTGCTTTTTAATCATTAGACAACAGGCTCCTGTCTACATGCTGTTTAACAACCTTCAAAAACCACATGTACTTCAAAAATGAAGTTATTACCTCAAAAATCTATCAAAAATGTCAAAACAAACATTTTATTTTAAAGAGCGGTAACTATCTATGTATTCTCCAAAAGACTGTCACTAATCTTATTTAAATGCATATAACCCAAATACTTAGTTTTAACTGGCCTATGGGCAAAGACCTATTTAATTTTAAAAACAGGAAACTAATTTTGTCTCCAACCAAGTGTCTTTCTCAGAGGAGTAAGTCTGGCACTTACATCTGTATCAGAAGCATCACCACCAAAGCTTTCTTGCATACACTGCAACCTTTGAAAAATCCTTTGATGCCTGTATTCCACTTCTGAATCATACTCATTTGAATCTCTCAGGGTAGACAAACCACTGTCAAAACAGCTCTCAGGTAAGCTGTCAACTTCACAGTTTATCCTTTGCATGGGATCACAAAGTGCTAAAGAATCATAATCTTCATCCACACAGGAAGAATGAGATGATCTAATAAGAAAATATTGAAGGGGGAAAAAAAAAATTACTCCACAGTTGTTTTTCCCAACAAAATCTGAGCCATTCTGGAATAGTCAATACTTAGAAATACTAACTACTTAGAAATACTAATTATACAGTTTAAGATATAGGTCAATACCTACTTTACCTTTCTAAGTAATTTATTTTTCAATCATATCTCTTAGGATGCTCAGATTAAATTATATAAACTATGCTATTGATGATTATTTCCTAAGTCTCAGTAAGAATGTCTATTTATTTATACACAGGAAAAATAATTGTTTAAAAAAGATTCAGAAAATTACATACTATGAAGACATCAAAGGCAGAAAATGATAGCCGATGGTTTAGCTAATTTTGGCCTATTCTAAGACACATATAACTTTGAAATGCTGTATCTAATTTAAATGAATGCATTAGCTTACAAAAGCATACAGGCCAATAATGACAGCTATAAATACAGAAATGAGGGTAACTGAGTTCAGAAGGTCAGTAATGGTGGAAGAACTCACTGAAACATGTTTTCTTACAGTTTGATAGGATATGCAAAGCTTAAAGGTTTTGCAAGAAAGCCCATTCTTTCCCCTCATCCTTCCTTCCGAAGTGTTCTTTTTTTTTTTTTTTACATTCTGGATGCTGTATTATACAAAAATACTCAAATGGGTGCAGCAATGACAGTATGGCTTGCAGAAAAATCAATGTAGTTTTTCTTTATGTAAATGAAACTACAGAAAAGTAAAATTAATAGATTGAATCTTAAAAGAAACAATCTTAAAAAGTTTACTATGGCTACAATCATTATCCTGCTCCTGCAGCAAGACAGGGACAGGCCCAAAAATGAAGTGAGGCAGAAAAGTTTTCCAGGTCACAACGGAGAAGAGAGAACCAGTTTGGCTCTGGCCTGTTGGGAGTGGATGTGAAGCACGAAACTGCTACAGCAGGCAAGGTCAGCATCCATCCTGGTAAAGACAGGTTGCTGCCACAGGGGCTGGGAGCTCCCAGTGCAACGGCACACCACAGAAGAGTACACTGTGGAGAATCACCAAATTATGAAGCTGTTACTGAGTCGAATACAATTCCTCCCTGCTAGAGGCCAAATGCATGTGACAGTGGCATCATTGTCCTATGCAACAAAATCCAGAACCATCTAATTGACATCCTTTCAGGCTAATGAATAATCACATAAATGAGCGTGATCTTTGCTGTGGAATACCACAGCATCCATGCTATTTGTATTCATGCATCTACTAGCCTATACCAAATCACTGAAATACACAGTAAAGGTGCATGCTGTAACAAAGTTAAGCTTGTCAGCCATTCCCCGAAATAAATTTCTTTAGTAGTCTATTTTCAACCTCACTGAAGCATGAATTCAATGCTGGGAACTTCCTATGTGCTTAAAGCAAGTTAGACCAAGATGTATGACATAGCTAAAAAAAAGTACACACACTATTGTAAATTGCTTAAAACATGTTAGAATGCAAATCCATATCTCTTAATGCTGATCTGCTGTCAGGAGACAGACAAAGTACTGAAAATGAACAGGTTTTGGGACATTGATCTCTCTTTCTGTCTTTCCATACTCCTAACTCACACCTGTTAAGAGTAAGTTTCATTCCTATCACATAAACTTTCTTCTAAAGCAGCCTGCATTTCTCACTTTTGTGGAAACGCAACAACTGCACCACGTGGCAGGTACTAATAAATATTCCCAGAGAAGGATGTCACTAAGCCTCCAGAGAGGTTTTAGTTTCCCTTCAGAATATTACTATTAGTAGTGCATACGTCTCAAAATTTGCAGAGGGTCCAACAGAGGGGAACTGGTTTTATCTGCATTCAGCAGAACAAACTAGTTTGTGGCAAGCAACACTTTACAGACAGCAAACACATCTCACATTGAGACAGCAAAATAACAGTAACACCTCTGAATGAATGTGGATATTATCAGTGTGAAGCAGAAGCCAACTTAAACCCTACAAAAGATACGCATCTCTCTGGCAAAATGTAAAACACACACTACTAAGAACTCTAACAGAAATCTCTCTAGAGTTTGAAGTACCACTGAAAAAGAAATAAGACAAAATAATCTATCAATTGAGCAAGGACACACCTTCTTCTGGCAGTTTCAGCTGTTTAAGAAAAAAACAAAGTGTGAAAATACAGCATGATCAAGAGCACTTCAAGTTGGATCCAATGCCCAGCGACTTCAGTGAGTCTCTGCAATGATCTGAGGAAGCTCTGATCGATGATCTGCATCCACTAAGTATGAAACCAAAGTAGCTCTGACCACTTGATATTTGCACTTAGATAACTCACTGTTCTCTGTGGCTATTACCTCATTAATATCCAAGTGCATTCATTATTCTTGCATGTCAGTGTGAGATGAGGATATTCATTCTTTTGAAGAATTAGGTCCATATACCTTTGTAATAATTATTACTTGGGAAAAACAGACATACAGGCAGAAGACATGACCAAAAATGTTTTGCTTCCTAAGTAGTGAGTAAGCTAGCTAACAGTACATTTTTTTAGTTTCTGGAGACAAGGAGGGGAGCTTGAGAATCAAAACAAAACTAGAATAAAAGCAGTCCAAGACTAAACAAGAGGCTGTCTGAACTGTCTGCAAGTTCATGATTTCAACTGGAAAGAGTTTTCCTGAGCTTTCTGAAGTCACTGAAAAATATTCCTATTGACTTCAGTATACTTTGGATCATATGCTATGGTCATGCATTCTTTCTGAATCATACAGAACTATTCTCTCTGTTATTTGACAATATTTGCTCTTCTAAGACAAGTGTGAAGCTCTAGTCTTTTTAAGCTTAATGAAAGCAAACCGGGCTTACCTGTCATACCGTGGGTTGAGAGGAGACTGTCCACCATTAAATTTAGGACTGCTTCTAGAAATGGTACTTCCTGGTGAGGTGTTTGCTAACCGCTGTGATAGATACATAACAAATGCATAAGGAGTTTGATGAATACAGTGTAAGCATCTATATTTGTTACAAAAAAAGTATGCACCATCAAAATTACTACTGTGTACTTCCATATATTTTCAACTACTTATTTTTAAATTAAACTTCATGCTTTATATAGGGCTGGATGTCAAAACGTCCATTACATATAGCATTTAGGTTCCACTGTTGCCTTAATATTGAACCTGCTAGCCACTCCCCACCACAAAAGACAATGTAAATTCCAAGAGGATGATTTCATTGACTACACCTGAAGAGTGAAATGCTAAATTTTGAAAAGTGGTATTTAGAAAAATGGCATGTTGACTACTAAAGCAAAAAGGGAAATGTCACCAGCTGAGCTAGTTTCAGTAGAGATACCTCCTGGTTCATGAGTGAGATAGTGGACTGTGGATAGCTCACAACTGATAGCACATGATGGAGTATTTCATCCGTTCTGCTGTCCCTCTACACTTTTATTCACCGGCAACAGTTTCCTCTGTCCTTTCTGTAATCTGCCTCCCTTACGTTTCAGAGCATGGCAGAAGGAAATGGTATCTCTTGCTGCACCTGCAGTGAATCTCTGGTAGCCTGTATCAGCAAAAGGCACTCACGTTCACCAGTATGGTATGCTGGAAAGAGGCAATGACCCCTATTTTCCTCCTTCCTGGTCGGTATTGTCTCTGTGGCCCCATTATTCTGGCCTCATCATTCTAAAGCAGTTAGTTGCTTTCCTGATGATGGAAGGGCTTGCCAAGTCATTAGTTTAGGAGTTAACAGATTTCCCAATATTACAAAACACTGAGTAGAGTAGATTTTCTGTAACTTTCAAGCCTTCCCTTCTCTGGTTTGGAGGATGCCGGGTTAAATCTGTTACAACATATTCCCATACAGTTGTGATAGCCCAAAAGGGTCAAACTGAGGTCCCTATTTTCAGCAGTCCCTGCTATTCATTTTCCCAGTGACCTGGCCTAGACAAAAATTCAAATTAGATTAAGACCTTGCGACCGAAATAAAGCAGTTTTCTGAAAAAGTGTGTTTTCTGTTGTAGGGCACTCCCATATACACAATACAAACATATTCCCTTTAGTGCAAGAGAAACAGCTGATTTATTCACCTCATCAGATACATCCGGCCCTAGCATATTAAAAAAAATCACTATTTCCAAAGCACCTCAGGAAGTAGTTGTGCTCTAAGAAAACTCCATTCTTTCACAAAACGCAAGTGAATTCCAACAAAATTCAACTACACAAGTGTAGTTCCCACAGTGCGTCCACTAAAAAAATTCAATTTTCTGAGTGCCCACTGAAGTACAAACAAATTTGTACTTGGTGTGTTAATTCTTAAACCTTCTAGTACCACATAACAAAATTATTAATACATACCAATGATCTGTTGTACTTGCTGAAACTGTTTTCAAGTGCACTTCTTAAACCATCATTGCTGTCATGTAGCTTTCTATTAGCTGATCTAACAAAGAAATATAGTTTAATTTGCAGAGGTAAAGAAAACATTAAAAATTATGTAACTTGTCACTAAGAAAAACTGAAAAAATATATATCAAAAAACCTTTTTCTTAGAGAAACACTAAAGAATAATGTGGGACTAGAAATGTGTTGTATGTACAAACAAATGAAATAGCCTCCAGCAGCAGCCTAGGAAATCCTGTTTCACTTCTGCAGCATGGTCTGTGGTCAGCTGAGGTGAAAAAAGACACTGTAGGAATGGCCACAAAAAAACAGCTATGGGGTAGTAAGCTCATACAGCCATTCTGAAATACAAAATCACTACCCTGTAAGTATTGCTGAGATGACTCTAAGGACAAATGTGATTCAGCTGCTTGAAAGAAAGAGTATGTTTAGGACAAAGAAATTAACTGAAGGTATAAAAAAAAAATTATTCATTGTGACCCTCTTTGAAAGCAAAAATCTGTGTGCCACTTGTTAGTACTTACCAGATAACAATGCTACAGGGAGTTACTGGAGAAGCGAAAGCAATAAAAAAAGGAGCCAAGTAACAATTTTTATAATAGCATGGATAGACTCCAATCTCATTCACCTTATCATATAGAAATGAAAGTCAGTGAGGCTAAGAAAAAAAGAACAACAAAGAGTTAGTGGCTCAGCAGCGCAGCAGAGTTAGTAGCACAGTACCTTGCATGAAAGCTGAGCACAGTAGATTTTATGAGAATTGAGGCCATTTCAGTATTTTTACTTAGTATTTTTTCCCCAAACCTCATCCCAGTCTTTTGCATACAAAAACATTTACCCCTGAATATGTTGGGACAAAAGTTTGTTAATAAAAACCTGAATTACTCAGAACCTACTGAAGTATTTCAATTTGTCTTTCCAGATTATCTCGGTCTTCAGTATACTCTCGGATCATTTCTAGGTCTCTGCAAAAAAAAAACTCAAGATGTTATACTTTGCAGGATATACTTTTTTATTTTTATAATTCTGCTTTTGGCAGAGGACAAAACTCAACAGTCAACATTTATAAGAGGTGATAAATATATAGTGGGGAAAAGACAAAATTTCAAAATATTTCTGAATACAGTTTTTCTATGCTTACAATTCTGCAGAAATACGTTAAAAGCAGTTTTACACAAAGTAAAATCACTTGGTAACTTCACTGATCTCTGCCATTATATCTCAGCAAAGACTATGAATGAAAAATAAAACATTGACAACCACATGGACTGCCTCCTTTCCCCTTGAAATGTAATTTGTGTGATCTGAAGATAACCACATCATGAAACTGTCATTTACACTCCTTTGAATGAGTATCTAGAAGTAGCTTTCATTCACTTTAAAAAAAAATGGTTGAGAGTGATGTGGAAGCCTTCCAAAACTATTCTCTCCAATATTCATACAGATACTCATCTAAGTGCAAGTCGTGGAGGAAAAAAATTGCCCAATGCTATAAATTTTACTCCTAACTAAAGTCCCAGTAAAATCAATGTGCTTCCTTGCAAGATTAGGAGAGCTTGCATCATATCCAGAACTTCCTCTTTCAGAAACCTGGTAAGAGAAGTGAGCAGTAACCATGGCATACTTTGCACGGTGTCAAATGTACACCTGTCATTTATGGCAAATTTAGAAAATAACAGTTAACAACGGCATACTTAATAACTACTAAAGACAACAATTCTTTGTTTTCCCCTGTGAAAATATTACTATGTAGAATTACCTTACCTCTCAGTGTTCAAAGTCTGATCTGCATACTCGCTTTTCAAGCTATCTAATTCACTCTGTAGAAAAGCTATATTTGTCTGTGCTTCTAAAAGATCTTTCTTCAGTTTTTGATTTTCCTTAAAAAAGGAAGATACTAGTTGTTAGGTCTCGCAGTCACCTGCATAAAATCTTGACATACTATAATGGTAAAATAAAAACTACCAAAATTAAATAAAAATGAAACAGTAGAAAATCGGAGCATAAAGGGGGAAAGAAAATGAAAGAACTCTGAATAAACAGAGAAGTCAGTAGACTAGCATGCAAGAATCACTGAATTTTTATTTTTCAGTTTCAGTTACACAAAAAGGGGACTATATCATCTTAAGCCATTTCTAAATGTTATACATAGAATTAGTATGCATTTACACAGAACAGGGTTTTTTTCCAAGTTAAACATCCTCATACACTTATCAACAACTTTAAAAATTTATTTTTGTAGCTTACCAGCACTAAATGTAAAAAAAAAAAATAAAAATGTTCTGTATTTGCAGAGGGTAAAACTGAGGCTAAATAGGTACGTTTATGACAATCATCTCTTACCAGTAACATATCATGTATTCTTTTTTTCAACTCAACCACATCTTCCCTGTGAGTTACATTTTTGGATCGCTCCTCCAGCTAGAAGGATAAAAAACCACACAATTAATGTTTGTTATTGATTGTTCTGATTCAAAGTACATAGAAAGAGATGGACATCATACTAAATAACGCCTAAAGCATTTACAGCTACCAAAGTTTTTAAAAGCGAGAGTTTCCGAACTCATTGCATTACTCAAAAAAACACCGGCATTCTACCCAATTTTTTTAAATCAATACTTCAAAAATGTTGAATGAGCATTTTGCACTCCATAGGTTTTAAATATGCATAACTAGCGACACAGGAGCCAACTACTGAAAAGATATAAACAGGTGGATCCCCACTAACATAAAAAAAGAATCATATTCTACCTCATCTATGTAGGATTTGTACTAGAAGCTTCTTGTGAGAAATTTCCATTTCTATCAATGCTTTTTTAAGTGCAATTCAATATGAAGAAACAAAATCATATCCTCACTGGTCACTATAATTCTGGTAAAATTATGGTAAAACTTCTAGCAAAAACTAATGTCAAAATTAAATGCAAATTACAAAATAATCTAAACAAAATACTAATACTTGAGATTTCAGTTTACCTCATGCTTGGGTATCAAATGAAAATATCACGTTAAGTTCAGTGTAGTAATAACCAGTACCACTACTCACTTCATTTTAAAATTACCACTTAAACTCAGCTCTACCATTAACATTTGAAAGAAATGCACCGGCTGCTGAAAGGTACTATATTACTATAAATTACTACATTTCGGTTGCCAATTTTATCTAAATCTATAAACTACAAATACTTAGAAGCAATATATTAGACTATTTCTAACATACCAAATACATGACTAGGCATCTGCAGTGTTAACAACTTGACGGATCTAGAAAATTATTCAGCAACATAATTTGCCTGGTAGTTGGTCCCTTTCCTAAGTATTTCAGTAAATTACACAGAAAGAACACAACAGTACAGAATGACAATACAACCTAAAAAAATATTTGCACTTGCTATTTACTTATAGACATTAAGTTAAAAAGCTACAGTTATGATTATCCATCTTGGGAAAAGCACTTCATAAGGTCAGCATCACTTAAAAGACTTAAAAACTTTCATCATGACTTCAACTCACTTACCTTCTTAAGTTTTTTTATTGTCACCTGAAGATCCCCAACTTCAGAATCATACTGGCGCTTCAGCTCATTTAGTGCTTCTTCAGCTTTTCGCTTCTCCTGCAATATTTTTAATCTCATGAAAAGCTGAGACAGGTTTCAAATGTTTATTAAAAAAATGCATTCATCAGTTTGGAAATGACACCACTTCCCCTTACATTAATGTGTGTAATTTTGTCTTTCCATTACATCAACCTGTCCCTTTCTTAAGATCCACAGACTCTGATTCTGTTGCAGGTCTGTAACTAGTGGTGTTCCCCCAGGGGTCAGTACTCGGCCCTGTCTTGTTCAACTTCTTCATCGATGACCTGGATGAAGAATTAGAGTGCACCCTTAGCAAGTTTGCTGATGACACAAAACTGGGAGGAGTGGTAGATACACCAGAAGGCTGTGCTGCCATTCAGTGAGACCTGGATAGGCTGCAGAGTTGGGCAGAGAAGGAACCTGATGAAGTTCAACAAGGGCAAGTGCAGGGTCCTGCACCTGGGGAGGAACAACCCAATGCACCAGTAGAGGGTTGGGGCAGACCTGCTGGAGAACAGCTCTGCGGAGAGGGACATGGGAGTGCTGGTGAACGACAAGTTCACCATGAGCCAGCAGCGTGCCCTGGTTGCCAAGAAGGCCAATGGTACCCTGGGGTGCATTAAGAGGAGTGTGGCCAGCAGGTCAAGGGAGGTTCTCCTCCCCCTCCACTCTGTGGTATGGTTGATACACCAGAAGGACGAGATGCCATCCCGAGGGACCTGGACAAGCTGGAGAGGTGGGCCTGTGTGAACCTCATGAGGTTCAACATGGCCAAGTGCAAGGTCCTACACCTGGGTCGGGGTAATCCCCGCTATCAATACAGGCTGGGGGATGAAAGGATCGAGAGCAGCTCTGCTGGGAGGGACTTGCGGGTACTGATAGACGAAAGGCTGGACATGAGCCGGCAATGTGCGCTGGCAGCCCAGAGGGCCAACC